ATTATACTACTGCACTTTACTACGTCGTTTACGAGAGAAAATAAAAGAAAAACGTCGAGGAATGCTCAGAAGAAAAGTCCTGTTTCATCAAGATAACGCCCGTGTTCACACGTCAGTACAGTCAATGGCTGAAATTCACAACTGTGGCTTTGAACTGTTACCGCATCCGCCGTATTCACCTGATCTGGCACCATCAGACTTCTTTCTGTTCCCTAACCTAAAAAAGCACTTGGGAGGTCAAAGATTTTCGACAAACGACGAGGTCAAAGCAGCTGTAGACGCATATTTTGACTCTAAGGAAGAATCATTTTTTTCAACGGTCTAAATGCTTGGAAGGGGAGGTGGCAAAAGTGTATTGAACTTGATGGTGATTATGTAGAAAAATAAAAATATAACTGATTTAGTATGTGTTTATTTTCTTGGTTAGGCCGAGTACTTTTCAATCCACCCTCGTATCATGCTCTAATTGGCGTCCGTATTGTGACCTACGCACATTGAGAACTTTTCACGCTTATGCTTGCTTGCATTTAAGTTTCTTTGGTTATATTTAGTAACTTAGGTAAATAAACTTGTGTAAGTTGATTAATGTACTTGACATGGACATTGAACGGAGTATTTACCCATATACGGACGTAAGAATATCCTAAAATATTCACACTAAGTTTTATTTGACGTCCACTTCTTCGATATCCAATGTCCAAAGTTGTTGTTGATTATTGCATTTTACTATTTATTTATGTTGATTATTTATTTAGTGCTCAAGGCATATTTTGGTATTTTTTGTCGGTTTATACTGTACTCAGTGCTAGTAGATAATTTTACTTTCCAATTTGTTTTCGTGTCCTTAGATTTAGCTACATATAATAATAGGGACGTCCGAATATCCTAAAACATTCATACTGAATGATATTTGATGTCCATATTTTGAATTTTGTTATATTTCTATATGTGGACGCCAGATTATCGGTAAAGTTTCATACCGCATGATATTTGACGTTCATATAACCATGAATATATCTATATTTTAATTTCTTGTGTATAAGACACACATTAATGATCATTACTTTAATGACATTTTTCGCTATTGTTTTATTTTTATTTTTAGTGTAGCCCATGTTGTATGAAATAGTCACTTTGGTGTTTCATAAAATGCTCCATTCTAGAAACGACAATACGCTTAGAAAACCTCTCTTATTTCTTTTTTGATAAATGTTTTGGGGCACTGTGTGCGCCAAAATTGTAACTTTAAATTACTACCTGTGTACAGATAATTATATGGACGTCCGAATATCCTAAAACATTCACACTGAATGGTATTTGACGTCCATATTTTGAATTTTGTTATATTTCTATATGTGAACGTCATATTATCGGTAAAATTTAATACCGCACGATATTTGACGTCCATATAACCATGAATACATTTATATTTTAATTCCTTGTGTATAAGACATACATTAAAAATACTAATCACTTCTATACAGTAGGTTATGCTGATGACCTGACAATACTGGTCTCGGGAAAGACAGCAAGCATAGTGTGCGACCTGACCCAAGCGGCTCTCCGTATAGTGGAGAGATGGTGCAGGGAATACGACTTAACCATCAACCCAAATAAAACGGTTTTAGTAATGTTCACACAAAAAACGAATGCTGAATAACTATCAACTTCCAAGTCTTTTCACAATACTCCAGCTATCCTCTGAGGTAAAATATTTAGGTCTTACCTTGGACAGCAAACTTAACTGGAATAAACACATAGAAAACAAAATCAACAAAGCTAGTATAACTTTCTGGCAATACAGAAACATGATTGGCAAAAGATGGGGACTGATGCCAAAAATCATACTTTGGCTTTACAAAACTGTAATTCGGCCCATGATCACATACGGCGCTCTGGTATGGTGGACCAAGACAAATGAAGCCACCACAATTAAGAAGCTTCAGTGCTACCAGAGACTGGCATGTATGGCTGCCACAGGCTGCATAAGAACTACGCCAACAGCAGCCTTGGAAGCGATGCTGGAGCTAACTCCGCTTCATCTACATATACAACAAGAAGCGACTTTAGCTGCCATCAGACTCAAGACCCTAAATCTTTGGAGTAAGAATAGTGTCCCTCATACAGGCATAATTGATAGAATTCACTCAGAAATTCCTATCCTACAAGCCAAATACGATAGGATTCCTAAACAATTTGTTTTCGATAAGAAATACAAGATAAAATTAAATGAAAACAGCCAGCCGGAAGGATTAAGCCCAAAAGAGCTTAGAGTTTTCACCGATGGTTCTAAAACAAATGAAGGTGTAGGTTCTGGAGCTTTCTCTGAAGACCTCAATATTCACATATGCACACCGCTGGGTACCTATAACACGGTCTTTCAGGCGGAATGTATGGGTATCATTCAAGCAGCCATAGCAATAGATGCTAGGAAGGTTAATGACTTCCCCATCAGAATACATATGACCGACAGTAGGGCGGTACTACAAGCTCTGAGTTGCAATGGGGTGAACTCGGGACTAATATATGAATGCCATCAACGATTAAATGAGGTATGTAAAAACAACAATGTGACTCTGCAATGGATAAAGGGACACAGTGGATCCAGAGGCAACGATGCAGCGGACGAACTGGCCAGAAGAGGATCGGCTCTGGCCACTATAGGGCCGGAACCAATCATACCAATCCCCTTTGGTAACGTTCGTTCAATGGTACGTAGACACTTCACTAATCAACACGCTCAGCTTTGGAAAAATCTAGTAGACTGTAAACAAGCTAGGGAGGCCCTACCTGTAATAAACAGTTGCTTAACCAAAGTTTTAATGAGACTGAACAAGCCACAGATCAGGATAGTAACAAGTGCTATCACAGGACACGGCATCTTTAACAAACATTTATTTACTATAGGTGTTACAATTAGTCCCCTGTGCAGGGCATGTATGGGGGAGGAAGAAACGGCGGCCCACGTGCTACTGAAATGTCCGGAGGTCGCTACGTACATGGCTAAACATCTCGGCACGCCGGTATCACTCCCCGAAGTTGCATGCAACATCAAGGGACTGTTGAGCTTCTTCGGGGAGATCTCATGGCTCGAATAATCACATTATTCCTGCCCACACGCAAAATACGCGCATAGACGTGGAGTTGCGGAAAACAGCCTGTCACAAACTAAACTAAACTAAGACACACATTAATGATCATTGCTTTAATGACATTTTTCACTATTGTTTTATTCGTATTTTAGTGTAGGGATGCGGTGTAAAATACTCACTTTGGTGTTTTATAAAAAATTTTCGTTCTAGAAATGATAAAACGCTTAGAAGCTTAGAAAAGGTGTGTGAAAAATTAAATTGTATTTCAATTAACTGCAAAACCAAACATAATATCATAATTTAACAAAAATAGCCTTTCACAAAAATGAATCTAGTTAAGTAGAGAGTAATTTCGTACAGATTAGGTACAATAGTCGCACTCATCCTTAAGATGCAGTGAGAGCACCAAAACTCAAAACAATCAAGTAAATAAATTATATTTTCGGAGTTATGTCAGCAACAATATGCCGCCACGGTCTATTGTAGAAATTAACAACCTATTGGCAGTTAATGCAGTAAAACCTTATATTAAAATGAGTTTCTTCGCCAGACCATATTAGGTTATTAGTCACAATATAATAAAAGAAACTTCTATGAAACCTGTCAATATCTAAAATTGAGTCCATCTTCCTATACTCAATCAGAAGGTAACTTATACTCAAACAGAATTATGGGTTGTACAGTCATTACCATATATCACCAAATACAAGTAACACATTGGCAACGGTGACGGAACGGCAATGTCGCATCTTCTAATTTTGTGCGGAAGTCAAATACGGCCACAAATGAAAGTATTCACAAATCGATAGCAGCGCTATTATTTTTATTATTATTATTATCTGGTAATAGGCGAGCAGCTTATAGCTGATATGCCTATATCTGTGTTGGTATTTTATATTAGTCCAAGTTCACACTAAGAATACACTAAATTGGATTGTCTTTACACCATTTGTCCAATTTGTTTTTAAAACTAATCACAGAGGGAGCATCTACCATGTCTTGAGGCAACTTGTTCCATATGTTTATGATTCTGTTGTTTAGTGTGTGATGTCCCACATTAGTGTATGAGCGGGTGTGGGCCAATCTCATATAGTTAGCATGTCTAGGTCGGTGGATACTGCTGATGTTAAAAATATGTGGCAGCTCTTTGCAATTATATTTATGTGTCAATATTTTGTAGGTTTCAATAAGGTCTCCTCTGGTACGGCGAGATTTCAACGTTGTTAGATTCAATATTTTTAATCTCTCTTCATATGGCTTTTTGCGAAGGCATAATGGAATTTTTGTGGCTTTTCTCTCTGGAGTCAGATGCTGAAACGATCGTCTGATTGCATACAAAGTGCTGTTTGCCTTTTTGACAATACTATGGATATGGTCAGCCCACTTGAGGTCGGATGATATTAAGACACCTAAATCCTTGTGTCAGTTAACTGACTGTACTGTTGAATTTCTAATGTTATACATTTCTCTGGGATTGTTTCGGCCTAGATGCAGAACTGTGCACTTAGAAGGATTAAGTCTTATAACCCAATTTTTTGTCCACTCCTGGTTCAATAGAGGATTTCCGAAGTATTTCACATCATCAGCAATGAAACAGGCTTCTGAGTGTATTATAGAACTCAGATCAGCAACAAAAATGCCAAAGAGGGTAGGCGCGAGTACAGATCCTTGTGGCACTCCGCTGAAGACGTCTTTAGGTTGCGAATATACATTTCCAACTCTTACTTGAAAGGTTCTTCCACTCAGATAATTTATGATCCATTTCAGAAGATTTCCTCGGATACCCAGATGTTCCAATTTAACCAAAAGATGTCTGTGTGCTACCTTGTCAAAGGCCTGTTCAAAGTCCAGGTAGAATATATCCAAAGGATTATGTTTATCTAATTCCTCAGTCCATCTGTGGTAGCATTAAAGAAGGTTAGTTGTAGTCGAGCGCCGTTCCACAAAGCCATGCTGGTTATCCGGAATAATTTTCTCATCTGCTAGGAACTTTCTTACTTTTTTACATATAATCTTCTCCATACATTTGCAAACAATACTAGTTAAGCTGATTGGCCTGTAGTTAGCTGGATCTAATTTATCACCCTTTTTAAAAACAGGTGTTACTATAGCATGTCTCCGGTCTTTTGGTACCTCACCTGAAGCATATGATTCATTCATAATATTGACCAAGACAGGTGAGATGGTTTCAGCGCATGATTGGAGAAATACTCCAGGGACATTATCAGGCCCAGAAGCAGAGTTTACATTTAGGGACTTGAGAACCATAAGCACATCCTGTGATGTGAAATGGATGTCATCTATGGAGTTTTTAACTCTTGGTATAGGTATGGAAATATTATTAAGGTCAGGTACCAATGAGTATGCTTTCTCAAATTCACAAGCAAATGCTTCGGCAATTTTAGACCCTTCAACCACAAGATTGCCAAGTTCATCACGTACCACAGGCGGCAGACCAACTTTAGAAGCCATGCAACTGCGTAGGTGAGCATAGAAGGGTTTGTTTCCACTCTCGACAATCTTGGCTTCGTAAAGACTTCTAAGTCTTCTTGCTTCACTAACACACCTGTTATTGCAATCTCTGTAGGCCTTATATTTTGTATCGCATTTCTTGTCTGTCACATATGAGTCCCATAAAATCTTTTTCTGTTTTGTCAATTCAACAATGGAAGCATTTATCCAGGGTTTATTTAGATTTTTCTTTTTTTTTAACCATATTGAGAGGAGCATGTCGGTCTAAAACAATTTCCACTTCATCCTTCAGGGCCATCCACTGTTCATCTACTGATTTACTCCAGTCATGATTACATAGCGTGTTTTTGAGCTCTGCATTAACAATCTCATAGTTTATTTTATGTAAAGCATGTCTAAATAATCCTTGCGCTGAAGAGCTTGAGATGAGGTATTGAATTTGAAATTCAATTACACAGTGGTCACTTTTACCAATTGGAGCTGAGTTGGTAATGCCTGAGATAAGATCTTCCTCATTTGTCATTACCAAATCCAGTAGTGAGGGAATATTTCCGGATTGATAGCGGGTTGGCTCGGTGTCAAGTTGGCATAGAGCTGAGTCAAAGTAGAATTTTTGAAAGAGCTGAGCTGAGTCATGCAAGCTCTGATTATAAGAAAGAGGCCAAACAATGTCCCTGTAGTTAAAATCCCCAACTATGACCATGGTGTTGTGTGCAGATGCATTACTTAAGTTTTCATATAGTATTTTGTCCTTAATATTCCATTCCTTGTCATTGTCCGCTCTGTATATAACCACTAACAGAAAGTGATGTGATTTTAGTTGAATATCAAGATATAATGCTTCTGTCAATTCACTCATGTATGCACTATTTTTTTTACAACTATTGGTACATTATTAATAAATTTCCGTACATAAACTGCTACACCACCACCTCTTGATTTTCCTCCAGGAATTATTTTTCTGTCTAATCTGTATAGTGTGTAACCTGGAATCGAAATGCTGGCTCCCTTGTCTATGCTTTTGAGCCAAGTCTCTGTAAGTAAAACAAATGTAGGGTTTTTTGTTTGTATTTCAAGAAGCAGTAAATCAAACTTAGTGTTCAGAGACCAGATGTTAGTGTATAAAAATGTGAGTGTAGCGTAGGGGTTGTTAGTGATTAGTTTTTTTTGTTTTATAATTTTGGGTTCTCCTTTGACATATTTGATTGTGATGTCCGTTTCACCCTTCTCTTGCCTAGCCAGCAGTTCGGTACGCAGAGCCTGTAGGGCTTCTCTTTGTTATGGTGTTTGGTCACAGTAGATTTGCAATGGTTTGCTCAACTTTTGTTTTGGTCCTTGACAGCTACCAAGCGAGACTTAAACACTACTTTGAGCAAACGAGTCTTGCCTGTTTCTCTTTTTCCTAGCCTTATAATTTTAAGCACATCAGCTGGGGATATTTCGTCGTTTAGATTACTAATAATATTGTTCACCACATTTTCATCAAGTTTCTGGCGTATTTGCACATCTTCCGCCTCAGATTCCTTGGTGCCCGCGATCAAAATATTGCACGCTCGGCGCTCCCGCATTTCCGCTATAACATCAGACGTTACGGTTTTTGAAGCAGAAGTGGCATCAGTTAGGCCAGATTTTTTTTTTTATAGGATAGGGTGACAATCGAGCACACAGTCCACCTGATGGTAAGTGGTTGCTGTGGCCATAGACATTCTTCGACTGCAGATGTGTCAGGAGGACTAAGATGGAATGCTCTTTTAAACGCGTTTTGTTCGACGCCAATTCCGATTGCAACTGCTGTAGTTCATCCCGCAATTCATCAACAGCTTTTATCAAAATCGGTACTTGAAACAGCCCCTCGCGACATGGTATGCATAGAAACAGCATTGTACGTTTGATTTTTAGGCCCATTACTTTGATTTCACTGCTAGTAAGTCCACTACAAGTAAAACACAAGTGTCGTTTACACCCATCACATTGCACTGCATCCTCCATATTTACGCTTTTCACACACTGATAACATTTCGTAATAGACATATTTGCGAAGTTTGAACGTAAATGCCTGAATATTTACGTAGTTCTGCTAATTTGCAACGAAAATCAGCAGAACTTCGTAAATATTCAGTACAGCAAGATTGGAAGAAAAATGACGTCCAATTTTTTTTTAGATTTTGACATTTCTGTGATCAGCATGACGATTTGCGAACATTGCGCTAAGTCTCCTATTTGACGTCCGTATATTGGACGTCGTAAGCAGGTTGACGCCACCTGCGCCCTCTTTTCCCAAAAGAGGGTCGCTCATGATAAGGCACAATACAGCTTAATCAGCCGGCTGCCTGTCCCCAAAGGCGGTTTTTAGAGGGTATCACTTAGGGTCCCCGGTAGGACAGTGAGCCCCTCATAACCACGATAGACCGGCTATCGTGGTATGCGTAAAAGCATTTTCCGCCTCCCTACGTATAGGGTAGCCCTTTAATTACTTCGGGGGCACAAAAAACAAAAAAAATGAAAATTGGCCATAGTGGACGTACAATAAGTTACGGGATGTGTGTATATATATATATATATATATATATGTGTATATATATATATATATATATATGGGTGAATATATGCTATTTGAATTGCAAGGGACCATAGACAAATTTTATGGTAAGCTTGTTATATTATTATTACTGTATGCTTGTATGCTTAAGCAATGACGAATATCGTATTTTATTTGGCCCACAAAGTCAACTGACGAAAATTGTATAATATGAAGCATTAATAGTTATACTTATGCCATTATGTTTTCTTTCAATATGATCATATGCCTAAATAAACATTGAAACCTATTTTATCAAAATATATTGTAAAAATATTTATTAATATATAAAAATGTGTTATATAATAAAAGTTAGTTACTCTATGGATTTATATTTAAAAACCATACTAAAATGGCGCAATTTTACGGTAGATTAAAAATAAAAATCCATAGAGTAACTGATTTGTTTAGACCACAGAATAGACAATTTCGTATAGATTTCATAATCTTCTTCATAGAAAAGTAGTCTCTAAATATAAGCCTTTATGGTTTAAAGTGCTGTGGATGGGTGCTGTCGCATGCAACCTTAAAAAATGAAAATCCATTGAATAACTGACTTTTGTTTAGACTATAGGATAGAGAATTTGAAATACAGTAGAACGTCGATTATCCGAATTAATTGGGAGACATAAGTGTTCGGATAATTGAACTGTGTAATTGTATGTACCAATATACTAATAAAAACGTATTTATAATATGTAATATAATTTAATTTAATTTATGACAGTTGTATTACCAGCTAGAGCAGTGATACGATTATTTACTTAACACAAGGTGCTGCTAATTCACGACGCGAGGCAAGAATTTTTCTTGGCAAAGCCTTCCAATTGAGTCCAGTTTTGTCAGAATTGTAAACGTTTTTAAAACATAATTTTCTTGTTTCAATACGTCGCTTAATTTGATTTTGAAAGAATCAGCTGCTGAAGAACCAGCACACAGTTTTTCTCCTTGTATTTGAAGCTCACGAATACCATGTCTTGACTTAAACCGTTTTAACCAGCCCATGCTTGCTTGAAAGTTCGAAGTTTTTCATTTAATGTTTTCACTTTTCACATAGAACGGCATCAGAGATAGGTTCCCCTTGTGATTTATTTTGTGTAAATCACTTGTAAACAGTCATGAATTGGTGTGGGCGGCTTCATACTTTTACGACTTGTCGACCCATTAGTAAAATCATGCCTGAACATAAAATTGGATATGGTCATCCTTTGGTTTTTATATCCGTAATTGTCAGCTTAACCACTTTGTACTTCTTAGATAACTTGGTTGCAGATTCGCCTTTCTCTAGTCGTTGGTTAATCTCGTATTTATATTTTATCGGTACGAAACGTAAGCCTACACGGGACACTGAATGGAGAAGCGAGAAGGTGGTCGCATCCCAATAAGGTACTGAGGACCGAGGTAGCAGTTCGGTTAAGCGGTCGTTCGGTTAATCGACATTCTACTGTAGATTCTATAATGCCAAACTTCTTCACAGAAAAGTAGTCTCTAAGTTTTTATGGTTTAAAGTGGTGTGGGTGGGTGCAGTCGCATGTCGCATAATGAAAATAACCCCTGGGAATCCAGTGATTACTATCATATTCTATTATAATTCATATAAGTAAATAATTGTACAAAATTATTGTAAATTTTATGTATAAAAAAATAATGCCACTAGGTTTCTTGCTAGTTCTTCTCAGTACAGAGGAATTTCCAAACCAGAGGTAAATAAATAAATATCTAATAAAAAGAAGGAGGTTAGAAATATATGGGAAATTACAATTATTCCAGCATTATTCGTTCTTGAGATCTGGCTAAACAGATCACTAGACAAATGCTGTGGCCCATAGACACATTTATCCTCGATTAAGGATCAAAATGCAAATAAGTTGTCACCCATGATAACTAAGATGAAATGCAATGTTTCCAGTAAAAAGGGTCTCTGGTTCTCTACACCCACCATATGAAACACAACAGCATTGAGCTGCTATTTAACATTGGTTTTCTGTGAAAGTGTGGTCATACCCCAGTCAAGATGACCCATTCATAGTATAGCTATAATATAGTTGCAGCGTGGCTCTACCACATAAAAATCTATCTCATTCTATCTCATTTATGTAAGGATTTTAATGTTGAGTCAAAGAATAGTTAATATTATTATATATTCATTGAAATATCATCTCCTTGAAACATTTTTAATTTCTTAGTGATTTCTTTTATGTTTTACTATATAGGTATTTACTACTGTACTATTACTTCTTCACTATGTTTCTTTAACATTCAAAATTGCGACTAATAATTTCAGTTGTATCTGTGGGGATCTGTCAAACTTAGAGGAAAGACCTAAAATTTTTTTATAAAAAAGGGGGCAAAAGAGCATGTGGCTCACCTGGTGGTAAGTGATTAGTTTAGTTTAGTTTAGTTTGCAACGGGCTGTTTTCCGCAACTCCACGTCTCTGCGCGTATTTTGCGTGTGGGCAGGAATAATGTGATTATTCGAGCCATGAGATCTCCCCCGAAGAAGCTCAACAGTCCCTTGATGTTGCATGCAACTTCGGGGAGTGATCCCGGCGTGCCGAGATGTTTAGCCCTGTACGTAGCGACCTCCGGACATTTCAGTAGCACGTGGGCCGCCGTTTCTTCCTCCCCCATACATGCCCTGCACAGGGGACTATCTGTAACACCTATAGTAAATAAATGTTTGTTAAAGGTGCCATGTCCTGTGATAGCACTAGTTACTATCCTGATCTGCGGCTTGTTCAGTCTCATTAGAACTTTGGTTAAGCGACTGTTTATTACAGGTAGGGCCTCCCTAGCTTGTCTACAGTCTATTAGATTTTTCCAAAGCTGAGCGTGTTGATTAGTGAAGTGTCTACGTACCATTGAACTAACGTTACCAAAGGGGATTGGTATGATTGGTTCCGGCCCTATAGTGGCCAGAGCCGATCCTCTTCTGGCCAGTTCGTCCGCTGCATCGTTGCCTCTGGATCCACTGTGTCCCTTTATCCATTGTAGAGTCACATTGTTGTTTTTACATACCTCATTTAATCGTTGATGGCATTCATATATTAGTCCCGAGTTCACCCCATTGCAACTCAGAGCTTGTAGTACCGCCCTACTGTCGGTCAGTATTCTGATGGGGAAGTCATTAACCTTCCTAGCATCTATTGCTATGGTCGCTTGAATGATACCCATACATTCCGCCTGAAAGACCGTGTTATAGGTACCCAGCGGTGTGCATATGTGAATATTGAGGTCTTCAGAGAAAGCTCCAGAACCTACACCTTCCTTTGTTTTAGAACCATCGGTGAAAATTCTAAGCTCTTTTGGGCTTAATCCTTCCGGCTGGCTGTTTTCATTTAATTGTATCTTGTATTTCTTATCGAAAACAAATTGTTTAGGAATCCTATCGTATTTGGCTTGTAGGATAGGAATTTCTGAGTAAATTCTATCAATTATGCCTGTATGAGGGACACTATTCTTACTCCAAAGATTTAGGGTCTTGAGTCTGATGGCAGCTAAAGTCGCTTCTTGTTGTATATGTAGATGAAGCGGAGTTAGCTCCAGCATCGCTTCCAAGGCTGCTGTTGGCGTAGTTCTTATGCAGCCTGTGGCAGCCATACATGCCAGTCTCTGGTAGCGCTGAAGCTTCTTAATTGTGGTGGCTTCATTGGTCTTGGTCCACCATACCAGAGCGCCGTATGTGATCATGGGCCGGATTACAGTTTTGTAAAGCCACAGTATGATTTTTGGCGTCAGTCCCCATCTTTTGCCAATCATGTTTCTGCATTGCCAGAAAGTTATACTAGCTTTGTTGATTTTGTTTTCTATGTTTTTATTCCAGTTAAGTTTGCTGTCCAAGGTAAGACCTAAATATTTTACCTCAGAGGATAGCTGGAGTTTTGTGCTGAAAAGACTTGGAAGATGATAGTTATTCAGCATCCGTTTTTGTGTGAACATTACTAAAACCGTTTTATTTGGGTTGACGGTTAAGTCGTATTCCCTGCACCA